GTATATATGTATATATGTATATATGTATATATATATATATTGGGTCTAGAATGCATTTTGGTAGGTATTTAGTGGTATTATTTATTGACAGTTGAAGTAGAAAGAACGGCCGTCTGTGTTATCAACAGTGGGACGACCCCCACACAAACACAGAGAGACCGCCTATTGCATGTTGCGTGTTTTTAAATACCCCAAACCCTGGATTTTTATTTTGTACCACACTATGCCAACACACACTTTGAGGTCGAATATAGAGCGTTCTCATTGGATTATACGGCACCACAACACCGGCACCAATCCATTCTCTCTGTCGCGTGTCTGTGGACCAATAAGAATCGCTCTATTTTAACTCGTCCGCAGATTAACAGCCAATGAAATGAGCGATGTGTGGGCCTACGGCATCGCTCTGTGGGAGACAGTTACAGACGGTGCAATGCCCTACCCTCAACTGACAGACACAGAGGTATGCATTTGACGCATGTGCGCCTGTGCCTATATGTCACATGTGACGCAATATCTTGGGTTTAGGGTTTAAGGTTTGACGGTTCCGTTTCGTATGTGTTGATGAATTCAGGTGCTAATAACGAAACAGTGCGTATGTTCTGAGATGTATGCACATACATACTGGGTATCTGTACCATTATCGAGTCCAGCTATATGGGAGGGGTTTTAGGGTTTTAGGGTTAAAATCGGACAGGTGTAGACAGATGAGAGTCTGTAGAACTGCACATTAGTTGCTGTAGACTGAAGGGTCATGCACTGTAGCAGTACGGTGCATTGCGACCTGGTTAGGTAGGTATGCATCTTGACATGTGGGCACGCACACAACGATATGGATGGATGGTTGATTAATAGTACATATACAACGATATAGATGATTGCTTGTTATAGCTAAACTTAATCAAAATGCAGGTGGTGGCTTATCTCCGTCTCCCCACGCGAGAGGTTCTCACTCTCATCGACCCCGTACTGGAATGTCCCGGTATTGTGTATGATGTCATAGGCGCGTGCACCAGAATAGACGCCGGTATCCGACCCACATTCACCACCGTTCAAGTGCTGGTAGCTGAAGTACTGGACAGTTTGGCATGTCTATTTGCAGCTGTATGTGTATTTCAATATGTATGTATATGCGTGTATTCGCATATGTGGGTAGACGCATATAAATTCGACGTTGAACGTGTCTGCTTCTGTACTTATGTAGTATGTACATATATAAAACTTTATATATGTGTGTGTTTGTGTTTGTGTGTTTGTGTTTGTGTGTATATGTACTTATTTATATATATATATATACATATATACGATTAATCCAACAATTGTACTTTCACCAAAACTTGTGAGGTTGGCTAATGTTCTACTATCCCCACGCGTGCATACAATCGTGAATTTAATGTATAGTTGCACGTATACTTTGACACATTTGCGTTTCAGACCTTGTTAAATCTTTGTATTTCGACACTATGGGTGTACCTTTGGTTTTATTTGGTTCTGATTATATCCTTATATCCATGTTCGAACTTTGCTAGGGATACATACATTCGCACATGAATACAATATATACATACATTCATACACACATACATACATACATACATACATACATGCATACATATTTACATACATTCATACACACATACACACATACATACATACATACATACATACATACATACATACATACATACATATTTACTTACATACATACATACATACATGCATACTTACATACCCACAGCTTCACCCTAAAACCCAAAACGGGAGGTACCGAAGGTACGGTTCAGTTGTATTCGTATGTATCCACTGCTTCATGTGGGTTGTAGCGTACGTTCCTCTTATACACTACACCGGCTATTAAGACGTTCCTCCTGTAAACTACAATGGCTACTGAAGACGTACTGCTATGTTCACTTTCCCATGTGTAGGGTCCGTGTACTCTAGAATTACGCGAATTGACTCGATATTCTGCGATGCTCAAGTCAAGGTATGCTTGGAGGGAGACTGGGGATTGTTTATTGATCCTTTCCAGTATGATTGAGCTATTCTAATGTTTAAGGTTTAGGGTTTAGGGTTGGGGTTGGTATTGTGGATTCGGTCAGCTTCTTCTCTTCTATCTTTGCATAGCAGATGTGATATCGTATGATATAGTTCTGCGGTGTTTCGTAGTTGGCATCGCTGTATACTGTAACTATGAATGCACGTGCATAACCCGCCAATCCCGCATTTGGTAGAGCTCTTTTGTCAGAAGCATGTGCTGTTCCGCTGTCCGATATACAATGTTTTACTAATTGTATATACATACATAGCTACGCAGTCTGCCAGGTCTGAAACCTATAACCCCCTGACACTTGCACTTGTGTTGTTCGATTTTCCAACACAATACCTTAGTTTCACTTGGCTACAACCCGAAGTCGAATCCGAAATGAAGTCCGTTCTCGAAGATAGATCTCAATTCCACTCAGCGCAGTCTAAAGTAGACGGTGAGAGTAAAACACTACACACAATTGTATCGAAACGATCCATATACGTCGACGATGAAAACTATGTGGATACGCCACAACCAGGCGGGGGTATGTGCACACACCATTTGGTTTTGTACTTTGTTTACGGAGTCTGGGTTGGCTATAGTGTTGGTGTGTATCTTGAATAGCCCAGGTACGTCAAGAAACACACTATAAACCCTGAAACCCTAAAGCCCTGTGTTGATTGCTTCAGACGAGTAGTTGGGGTCATATGCATCAATTGAAGTTTGACCACCCTCGATGCCTTATTTGGAACATACACTACTACACCCGCCGACACGCACGTATGGGTTCACATTAACAAAATAGGCATCACATATATTTTATTTTTCAATTTTCCAATCCCGATATTCCAGACACGGACAGAAATATGCACCCAGCACTTCATAATAATGGATGTGTGGGCCCACAAACCGAACCCATCTACGTCGATCTACGCCGTAACCTGTCGCTTAACTCTAGCATGAACTACATGGAAGGTTTAGAAAGCACGGGAACCTCATACCAGATCCGTAGCACTTGTTTTGCCCCTGTGTGCATGTGTGTTATGTCTCTAGTCTGGTACACGGAAGCGGAGCTCGATATATATATA